CTTATCCACATCCTTATCCTCATCCTTATCCACATCCTTATCCTCATCCTTATCCTCATCCTTATCCTCATCCTTATCCTCATCCTTATCCACATTCTCAAGCCTAACGTCTAGCGATGGAGCTGTAGTATCCATGCTGCCTAATGTTCATGGCAAAGGCAAGGATGAGGGTGTGCTTTCAACACCGTCTAGTGGTGGCAGTGTGGAGAGTGATTCTGTCGACAAGCATGTGGTGTGGACGGACAAGGCAGCTGACACAGTCAGAGAACCCTCCGCTGAAAGTAGTTTGTGCGATATGCAGGATGAGGACACCAGGTCCGAAGCAACTCATTCTGGGATGGAAGGGAAGGCCACGAAGGTGGACCATGTGGTAGCTCGGATCTCCACCTCGGCAATGCCGCGAACTGGCAATCGGATGGCTCCAGACGTTGCCGCATTCAACGCAGCGCTGAATGCATGTGCGATGCTGGGCGATCCTCAGCAAGGAGAGGTGTTGATCAGCAAGATGGTGGAAGAACTAGGCCTTCAACCAGATGTTCTGTCTTATAACATCATGCTCAAGGCATATGCTCGAGTTGGTGACGTAATAAGCATGCATGACCTCTTTGAGAAGATGTCAAAGGGCACAGTCAACGCTCAGCCTGACGAAGTGACATATAACACACTAGTATCAGCTTATGTTGCTGCGGGAAATCTGGAGAGGGCAGAGGGAATCGTTGAGCAGATGAGCAATGCAGCAAGGGCAGCAGGAGCAGCAGTGGGAGTGGGAGTGGGAGCAGAAGTATCATCAGAGAAACAAGAAAAGGAAGTAGTGCAGAAGGCGGATGCTTCACAAGCAAGCGGGAGACTCGGAGGGCAACGGGTTCATCAGCAGAGAGATCTGAATCGGTGTAAACCCACAGTGCAGACTTATGCCATTTTGACAAAGGGTTACGTGAAGGCTGGTAGGCTGGGAAAGGCTATTCATCTATTGGAAATGCTAGAACAGTCTGCGGATAAGTGTGTTCACCCAAATGAGTACATATACACAACTGTTCTCGATGGCTGTTTTTGTGCAGGTCGTGTAGATGTAGCATATCAAATTGTACAAAAAATGAGCCAGCAGTCCTCCACTACATTCATGACGAACAGAGGGGAGAGAACGATAGCCCCAATCTATCTATCCTCCTCCTCCTCCTCCTCCTCCTCCTCCCCCTCCTCCTCTTTGCCTTATTCTTCTTCTTCTTCTTCTAAGACAGCTGCTGATGGTCGCAGTGATGCTTCTACCTCTAGGTTGCTCTTGAACAACTCAGCTAATGGGAATATCCGCTCGAAGGATGGAGAAGATGCAAGGTCTCTTAAGTCCTCCTCCTCCTCCTCCTCCTCCTCCTCTTTGCCTTATTCGACCTTTTCTAAAACAGCTGCTGACGGCAGCAGTGATGCCTCTAGCTCTAGGTTGCTCTTGAACAAATCAGTTAATGGGAATATCCCCTCAAAGGATGGAGAAGCCGCAAGGTCTGTAGACTCCTCTTCCTCCTCCCCCTCCTCCTCTTTGCGTTATTCTTCTTCGACTTTGTCTAAAACAGCTGCTGATGGTAGCAGTGATGCGTCTAGCTCTAGGTTGCTCTTGAGCGAATCCGTAAACAGGAATATCCGATCAAAGGATGGAGAAAATGCAAGGTCTGCAAACTCCGACGGGCGGTGGATTTTACCGGACACTGTGTCATATAATGCAGCCCTGAAAGGGCTTTGCCATGCAGGCAAGATGGCTATTGCATTGGCTGTATATAATGACATGCAGAGGGCCAGAGTCTCCCCTTGTGCTGTTACATTCAACACTCTCATCGATGGTTATGTTCGCTGCCGCAATATGGATGCCGCTATGGCTATGTTGCAAGAGATGGAGGCGGTGAACTTGAATCCCACAGTTGCGACGTACACTACCTTGATGAAAGGCGCTGCCCATGCGGGGCAGGTTCGTATGGCAGCGGAGATCTTCTGCGAGATGCGAGCCGACTCTACTGTGCATGCTGATCGGGTTGCTTTCAATATCATGATAGATGTGTATTCAAGATCTGGGCTGATGGACGAGGCTCGAGGGTTGTTCCTTGAGATGAAGGGGGAACTTGGGATGACGCCTGACATTGCCACGTATGGGAGTTTGATGAAGGGATACGCAAAGGTAGGGAGTGCAGGGGAGGCTCTTGTGTTATGGCGAGAGATTGCGGCAAGAGCTGCCAAGGACAGGGCAGCCACCCTAGGAGGAGGAGGCAGACCTGTCGACGGCACGATGTCCGAGGAGTCGGCACGAAGAAGACGACGAGGTGATGGACAGGAGTTTCCTAAGTGGGGTTCTTCGTCTTCCTCGAAGGATTCTCTTTCCGTGGCAAGGACTGTCAACATGGTCGATGGCTCAATTGGAGAGACACTCAAAAGCAAGTTCTCGGGGATTCGAGCTCTGGATGAAGGGGTGGAGAACAAGAAGAATACCAAGGTACCGACCAGGAAGTCCAGATGGGGGAGAAGAGAAAGCGGTGAGGAGGAGGAGGAGGAGGAGGAGAAGAGACGACTGAGCAGGAGGATGATTATGGGCATGTCTAATTGCCAACAAGAGAGGGATTTAGTTCCAGACAAGCGATTGCTTTGGCCATTGCTGCGTGTGTGCATAGCCGCTGGATATTTTCAGCGTGCACATCAGATCGTTGATGAGGTGGGGGAGCTGGGGGTGCCAGAGCACTTAGTCGTTCAATGCCAGAGCTATTTACGCACTCAAATGAAACGCGCGCAACAAAGACGCAAGGGGGGGAGGACCCCATCAATCAAGCAGAACCCGACACCTCGTTCACCTAGCGGTCCACGGGGACTCGAGGCGGTTAAGTTTTGGCTCGGACTGCCTAACTCCTACTATCAGTCAGACTGGGACTGGCAAAAGTGAATGGTAGCTCCCACCACCAACATGTTTAGGAAGACCACTCTCCCTCCTGTTTACTGTTTTAAGAGGAGGAGGACATGACATTGGGCACATGCACCGTCACAACTACTCTACAGGAGAAGAAGTGAAATGAGCCAAGTACTCGTCAAGTTCAGCCTCACATACATCAATGAACATTCACATGAGAGTTCACACGTGAGAAGCCAAATCGAGATACAATCAACACTTGAAGATGTCGTCTCCAATATTATTATCAATATACAAGAATGTTTGTCTCCAGCGGCTCTGCCGCACACACATGCAACGGATCTCAACCAGATAGCGGCTATGGCTTCTCCCCTCTTCTCTCTCTCTCTCTCTCTCTCTCTCTCTCTCTCTCTCTCTCTCTCTCTCTCTCTCTCT